GATTTTACACTACAAAATAGGTAAAAGTGTGTGACTTGCACTGTTATAGTAACGGGTCAATATCGGTATCGGTCAATATCGGTATCGGACATTTCTCAAAGTTGTAATATCGGTATCGTATCGGAAGTGAAAAAGTGGTATCGGGACATCCCTAGTAATCATGAGTGTAATGTTTTCTATAGATTGTTGTACAGAAACATTACAATTTTTTTACCCAAGTATAATTTAAAAAAATTCTAATCGTATAATAATACAGTATGTTTATATATAGACAGTTTATCTGCAAAAAAAAAAAGGTAAATTTTGGGATTACTCTTTAAACTGAGGGAAACTACCAAATATGTATTGAATAAAACACAGCAGCTGTAAAATTCGGTGTTTTGGCTCTTTTAAAAACGCTCAAGACAATTGAACTGATTGGCTTTGAATTTATTTTAAAAAAAATACTCCCATCAAGCTGAAATATATAGTTGTGCACAATTATTAATGTTCTCCAATTCCAATACATTTTACAAGCAAAAAAGATCCGTAAGAATGCTTTTTTTTATTGCAGATTCTTTTTTTAGAAAAGTACTTTTGGGGGGGGGGGGGTCCTGCTAAGAAGCAACAAGCTTAAATTTAACAGAAGCAGCTTTCTTTATCTACCAGCGAAAGAAAAAAAAAAGACAATACAAGAGCCACACAATAAATCACAGTTATTTCTTTCACCATTTGGCACTCAATGCATTTTTATGATTTATAGAAAAAAATGTACAACTTCTGAAAAAGGATTAAATCTTACGCATCAGTGGTCATCAGTGGTCAACATCCATTTTCTTTATAGTGCACTTGGAACAGCTCATCACCTCTTCCTAATAAAGCTTTAGGTAACAACAACTGATATTTCAGACTGTTTTCCAAACCATTAGTGGTGCAAAACAGGACTAACCGGCCAAAGAAGTGGAGCAGCTACATAATAACCACACCAACAAGACTGTTTTACAGGAAACAGTTGGGTCAAGTGCAAAGCTTTAACACACAAACCATACTCTAAAATGGCTTCTTTAGGTACAAGTTGTACTACTGTACCATTAAAACAAAACAAAACAGAATCTGCTACAGAAATATCCTGAGTTTGGAGCTTAGGCCAAATTACCAGACTGCCTAAAAGAGCAGAAGTGCAAAAGGAATCCATGCTCATCATTACCCCAATAAGGCAGTAGTGTCCTCTGCATAGTCATGCAATAAACATCTAAAAGGTAAAAACAACAAGAGGTTTCATTTAATCTGGTATACACCCATGACTTGTCCTCCCCTGCAAGAAGTAGTCTTTTCAGCCTCTCCAGGCTTGAGAGTACTGTTACAACTTTGGATCACACCTGAAAGAAAACAAACAAAAAAAGTCATAAAATACTTCAGAAAACGACATGAGAATTTTCACTTCTCTAGCTTACATGTTGTTGCAGCTTCTGATATTCTGAAGTTTTAGGTCGACGTGCAGACCTGCCTCTCTTCCCTTCTAAAACAAAGGCGATGATCTTGGAATGGGGACGGGGAGAGAGAGAAAAGTTAAGATTTTCATTGGGTTTTGTCTCTTTCTGTAAGCATGATTTAACAAGTATGGATAAGAATAAGCTGGTAGTCAATGAGTCTTTTTCGGGGAAAGGAGTCTTGTTTGCTAAAGATAGATTTTTGCCTTCTAATGACAAGCAAAGAAAACTATACTGAAAAACTACTAAAATACTGAAAAACAAAAAGGTACCTTGCGCTTGTTGTGGAATGCGATGTAAAGCCCTGCCACCAACACAACTCCGAAAACAAGGTAGGCGAAGAAGTGACTGTTCTCGTCCTCCTTGGATTGATCATTAATCAGAGTGTTCTCTCCTGTTTTCTCTTTGTCATTAGGTCCTGGACTGTTGGAATTCTTACTGATTTTTGAATGCACTTCCTTGTCAGTATTTGGTCCTGGACTGTTGGAATTCTCACTGATTTTTGAATGCATTTCCTTGTCAGTATTTGGTCCATTTTCCTCAGGTGCTTTAATTGTTGGTACTGTTAGCTGCTTGATCTCGTTAGAATTGTCCACATTTTCATCACCTTTGTTAACTTCTGTTTTATGCTTCTTGGGCTCCATGTTTGTAGAAGGTTTAGATGTTTTGTTCACATCAACTTTGCTAGGTGTCGTCATGTTTTTGTGTTCCGTCCCTCCGTTATTCCCCTTATCGGACTGATTCTGCTGTGATTCAGAATTCTGATCCTTAGTTGTTTTGTTGACTGTAGACTTCTTGGGATCTATGTTTGTAGAAGGTTTAGATGTTTGGTTCACATCAACTTTGCTAGGTGTCGTCTTGTTTTTGTGTTCCATCCCTCCATTATTCCCCTTATCGGACTGATTCTGCTGTGATTCAAGATTCTGGTCCTTAGTTGTTCCTTCGCCCTGCCTTTGTGTTGTAGTAGCCTGCTCTGTGATTTTGTGTATTCCAGCGTCCTGATTTTTTTGAGTTTCTGTTCCATTTAAGAGAGATGTATTTGTGTCAACTGTTATGGCCTTTGTCTCTTGAGAGGGATTATTTGATGAGCTTGACTTGTCTGGTGCTTTTCCTGCTGGAACCACTGTGGAAAAAGTAACATTAAAAAACTATAAAATCAATCAAGCATAAGCCCATTTGGTAATTCAAGTCCTAGCATTCATTAAATGAATACATATCGCTGACCCCATTCATGCAAGAGTTTTAGACTAAGATCATCTTGTAATGAGAAAAAAAAACAAGTCTTATAACCATTTTGGCCTAGTCTTGTGTGATCTCAAGTGATATAATAAAGTCTCACATGATCTATTAAGAGTCAGAGTACGATTTGAGGATGACTCTCAGCTACCACCACATCAAATTTTAGTTCAATATCTGTAAAATTTACTGAGACTTTTGTGTTGGCTGAGGTCAGTTAGCTGTCAGCCATTTTGAATTGGACTGAATCCAAAGTTAATCAGTTGTAGTTCTACATCCAATGTTTAGTTGTGGAGAGTTTATTCAAAATCCATCTAGTGCTTCATGAGATATTTTGCTAACACTACGCACACAAAACTATTACAGCTTTACTTTTGGCAGAGAGTGACAATGCCACTAATAATTAATTATATTTATTTTGTGTGGATGAAACTATTTTATACTTGGTCACTGTCTGGAGATTGTGTTATTCTTGTGCTTTTAGACTTAACTGCTGCCTTTGACACTGTGGACCATCAGATTTTATTTTCTCGTTTGGAGCAGTGGGTGGGCATTAGGGGCACAGCACTGGAGTGGTTCAGATCTTATCTGAGTGAGAGAACATTCTGTGTTGGCCTTGGGGATCATGTGTCCTCTTCTGCTCCTGTCTCATGTGGAGTCCCACAGGGTTCAGTCTTAGGATCCCTCCTTTTTTGTCTTTATTTGCTTCCACTTGGGTCCATTTTTAGAAAACATGGAATTTCATTTTTTTTTATGCAGATGATTGTCAGGTTTACGTCCCCCTAAAGAAAAAAATTACATTCTCCACTGAACCACTACTAAAAATGTCTTGAGGACTTGAAGGCCTGGATGGCTTTCGTTGTTTTTAGAAGAAAACTGAGGTTATGTTTTTGGCACATCCACTGATATCCCTTCTTGTGGATTTACAGTCCTTGACTCCATACATCAAACCAGTCATAACAAATCTGGGGACCAAGGTGAACAGTGATCTTAGATTTGATAAGCAAATAAGAGCAGTGGTGAAATCCAGCGTTTTTCATTTAAGGCAGCTAACTAAAGTCAAGCCCATTCTTTCTAGAAAGAACTTCGAGGCAGTAATCCACTCCATCACCACTCGGTTGGACTAATGTAATGGGCTTTATATAGGGGTCAGTGCTTCCTCTGTTGCTCACCTCCAGAGCGTTCAAAATGCTGCCGCACGTTTTTTAACCGGCACAAAAAAACCATGAGCACATTTCCCCTGTTTTAGCCTCACTACACTGGCTGCCTTTTAGGATTCATTTTAAAGTTCCTTTATTTGTTTTTAAAGCATTAAATGGTCTTGCCCCACTTTACCTCACTAAGCTGCTGCTGCACCCCTGTACCCCCTCTCGTTCTCTCAGGTCAACAGACCAGTTGCTCCTGAGAATCCCAAAAACTAAACGTAAGCTTAGAGGGGAATCCTGCCTTCTCCACTGCTGCTCCCAAAATGTGGAACAACCTGCCTTTGGACATCAGACACATCCCTGTCGGCTTTTAAAACACTACTTAAAATCCATCTCTTCTCTTTGGCTTTTGGCTCCATCTGAGATGTTGACTTTTAGTTTGTTTTGAGCAGAGGTGCCCAAAGTGGGGCCTGCAGACCAAAATTGGCCCGCCAAGCCATTTGATTTGGCCCACCAACAGTTGTCCTGGTTATTAGATTGTAATTATGTTAAGATTAAATATAAAATACAAGTAACTACAAGAGACATTTAGATTAGATTTAAGCCCATATATAGATTTGCACACCTTATAAAACCCCATATACTCAAATTTTAAATTATGAAAAGTCCCATGAGTCTGTGCTGCCTGAGCATATATTGAATTTTCTCCATCCATGAGCTGAAAAAAAAATGTGGGCATCCACACTCGCTGCTAGCTTAATCATAAAAAAAACTTTAAGTATTAAGCATTTCTTATATTATTGCATTTGGCCCGCGGCCCTCAGATTGATTTAATTTTGGCCCTCTCAGGAAAAAAGTTTTTTTAATTTTGGCCCCCCTCAGGGAAAAAGTTTTTTTTAATTTTGGCCCTCTCAGGGAAAAAGTTTGGGCACCCCTGGTTTTGAGATTATTTTAATTTGTTTTAATTGGTTTCATTTGTTTGTTTTATTGTATAGTTTTAATTTTTGGATTTGGCTTTTATCATGTACTGTGACTGTTGTGTGTTTTATTGACTGTGACTGTACAGCACTTCGGTCCTATGGTTGTTTAAGTGCTTTATGAATAAAGTTGATATGGTACTTTACTATTATGTTAAATTATTTATGGGAAAAAAACTGACCCTGCATCTGAACTGTGTAACAGATTCTTTCAGAGACATTCTGGGCCTCATTCTTTTCTCCTTCCCTTCCTTCTCCTTCATACAAACTTTTAAATGCAAATATTCAACGTGTACTAAGAACCCTCCCCAACATTCAAATGGGTCAATGCCAACATATTTTTGTGAAAGATGCTTTGGATTCGATTGATGATGTCTGTAATATTTGCAAAGATTATCTTTTTTTTAATTACTTGCTTAACTTTATTTTATACACTGTAGTTAAAAATGTCTCATAAAAACCCTCCATTGGTAAACACGTTATGAAACCTAATTTGTGAGTGCAAGTAGGACATCAGGTCTGTGGGTTTCCCCTTTTGCTTTAATGTATATTTCAAGCTTCCTGCTTTCTCAAGTGTCAAACCACTTTGGTAACATTTTTTGTTGGTAGAATTAGGGTGTTTGCTGGAAACATTTTTGCTTTGAATGAGGAATTAATTTACACATCTTGCTTTGGTGAAATTCAAACAACTAATTAAATCTCTTAAATTATGCATAGGCCTACTAAATATGCCCATAATCTGTGCTCTTTAATTGAAGAATATGATTTAACATCTAAACCCCAGCCTTTTGTTTATTATGTTCTTTATTTTTACTTTTAAATTTCTCATCTTTATTTGCACCCATCCTTTTCACATACAGTGGTTTGCAAAAGTATTCATACCCCTTGAACTTTTCCATATTTTGTCACATTACAACCACAAACATAAATATATTTCACTGGA